TCTGGCCACTGGCAGCTAGGTGAAGCAGTGGATAGAGTTCTGGGCCTGTTGTTAGGAAGACTTGAGTTCAAATCTAGCCACAGACACTTACTGCGTGACCCTGGGCAAGTCACTTAACCCTTGTTTTCCTCAATCTCCATGTGTGAAATGGGGATAATGATAGTATCTACCTCACAGAATTGTTGTGATGATCAAATGTAATTTGCAAAAGTGCTTAGTATAGTGTCTGGCACAGTATAAGGATGATATAAATGCTCATTTCCTTCCCTTCTCCCATCTTGTACTGTGTATATGACAATCTATCATTCAGCTCCATGCATTTTTACTTGCTGTCCCCCATGCCTGGAATAATTTCTTTCCTTCCCTTCCTGGAATCTTTAGATTCATTCAAGGCTCACCTTCTGCAAGAGGCCTTTCCCGATTACCCCCATTGCTAGCGCCTTCCCTCTAAGATTACCATCCTTGTACGTACAGAGTTTTTAGAGGTTGTCTCCTCCATTAGAATGTGAGCTCTTTGAAGGGAAGGTTGTTGGGTTTGGTTTTGTTTGTTTTGTCTTTTTATCCCCAGCATACTACCTGGCATGTAGTAACTAGTGATTAATAAATACTTGTTGACCGAATGACTGTTGACCAACTGACCAAGAGGATTTCTGCATCAGGCGATGGGATTAGACTACATACCTTCCAAGACCAGTGAGAATTCACAGAATGGGAAATGGTTAAAATAACACCCGCCTTTAAACTAATGGTAACATGACTTGGTTAGTGCATAAAGCATTTTAGGCCAATAAAGATATCCTTAGTGAATCATCTATAGTTTGTGTTTTCTTTTTCAATGTGATTTTTTGGTGATCATTCTCCACCCTCCACTGCTACAGAGCTAATTCCTCCTATGACTTAGAAGAGAATTTAATGTGTTGATATAGCAAAAATAAACAACCTTTCCCCCTTCCATCATCTAATGGCCAATGTCTGTTGAAGAGATTCTCATTATATAGATTTGGGCTTCATAGCTTATATTTTTTTTAACAGATGATCCTTCCTTGTGTTTTTGAAGAACAGCACAATTGTTTCCCTATTTTCTAGTCCCAAATTAACCTAAATTGCCTTTCTTTATGATGACTTTTGCAACTGTGCTATACTCAATGGTCCCACAATGTCTTGAAGAGTTGATATGTCTTTACGTCTTAACAAGCAGTAACTAGATGGGAGAATTATAGAGGCCTGGAACAGGAAGGAGCCTTGTCAAGGACCATCTACTCCAACCTCTTCATTTTACAGCCAAGGAAATTACAACATAGAAAGAGCTGGAACTATTTCTTCAGCACTTATTTCTTTGTTTGTATTATTTGTCTGTTTGTACTATTCTATACAGTAGTACAATTTGAGTAGAATTCAGAGTTTATGGAGAGGAATAAATATTACTCTAAGGCTAGAAAGGATTGTGGACCATGAATGGCAGGTAAAGGATTATGAACTTTATTTGTGAATCATTTATTGTTGTTCAGTCATTTCAGTCATGTCTGACTCTTTGTGACCCCATTTAGGGTTTTCTTGGCAAAGGTACTGCAGTGGTTTGACATTTCCTTCTCCAGCTCATTTTTATAGATGAGGAACTGAAGCCAACAGGGTTAAGTGACTTGCCCAGGGTCACACAGCTAGTATGAGGCCAGATTTGAACTCAGGAAGATGAGTCTGTCTGACTCCAGGTCACCATTTTCAGACATTCCTTTCAAACCCTAAGGTGTCTTAAACTCAACATGTCCCAAATTAAACTCATCTTTCCCTTCAATCCCTCTTCTCTTCCCTGTTATTTTCAGGTACCCAGCTTCCCAAGCTAGGCATTGTCCTTGACTCCTCACTCCCTTTCACTGCCCCATGTCCAATCTATTACCCAGAGCTTTGTAACATCCCTCGTGTATGTCCTCTTCTCTCTTCTGACATCACCATGACCCTGGTGCCTGAATTGTTGCAGTAACCTGTTGGTTGACCTCCTTGTCTCAAGGCTCTGCCCACTCCAGTATGCCCTCTGCTCAGTTTTCAAATTGATCCATGTTCTGCCCATGTCATACTGTTTGTCTTTTAAATACTTTCATAACCGGGTCCCTTCCTAGCTCCCCAGTCTTTTTCAGACTTTTCTCCTCTCCACGTACGTATTCTCTGATCTGGTGACACTGACTTCTTCAATGTTCCTCACACAAGACACTCCATCTTCAGATTATGTATTTTTATTAGTTGTCCACCATGCCTGGAATGTTCTCATCCCCATCTCTTGTCTTTCTTTAAGTCTCAGCTAAGTCTTTTGATAGGAAGACATTTCTAGTCCCCCTTAATGCTGAACATAATGCTCAGAGGGCATATTTTCCCTCTGACATCATCTCCAATTCATCCTGTATATATCTTGGTTTTACATAGTCATTTGTATGTTGTCTAGCCCATTAGATTATAAATAAGTTTCTCTAGGAAAGGGATTGGTTTTTTGCCTTTCTTTATAACCCTACTGCTTAGCACAGTGCCTAACATATCTAGGCATAAGTAAGTATCTGTTGACATGTTGACTTCTCCTGGACACACAACTAGCTTTTCCAGGCACTATCCACCCCTTCTTCTCCCCAGCAACTTCCACTGTTATAGCTTCATCTTATCCCTTCCTCTCTGGTACTCTCAGTTTCCTTGTCTGTCAAATGAAATTAATAACATCTGCCCTCCTAATAGAATTAATAATGCCTACTATGCTTACCTCTGGATATTCTCAACAAATGAGAACTAAAAAGGCTCCTGTGTAAATATAAGATGATAAAGTAGTTTACCCTAACATAGCTTTAATCCTAGTTAAAATGCAAATACTCTCCCCCTTACTCCCAAACTTTTCTTTACTCAATTAGCTTAAAAAGGCCAAGGTCTCCCACTCCATCCTGGGCCACCTCCAGTCGTCCTGATCTATATCTGGCCACTGGACCCAGATGGCTCTGGAGGAGAAAGTGAGGCTGGTGACTTTGCACAGCCTTGCCTCACTCAAATCCAATTCAACTGCAAGTCATGTCATCATCTTCCTGATGTCATGGTTCTCTTGGAGAATGAAGGACAAACCATGTCCATTAGTGTGAATATATTTCTCAGACATTTTCTGGAGAAAGGGTTTCTGAGAGGACAGAAGAAAGCCTAAGCCACTGGATCTGTTGTGTAAGAAGGAGGGGAGAAGGGCTAGTTGAGTCGCCAGATTACTGGTTGCTAACCACTTTGTCCCTATGATATGGAAGAAATGAACCCTGGGATTATTTAGGTAGTAAGCAGTCTTCTAGAGGTCCTGGGGAAAGCATTCTAGGCCACTATCTGTTCACCTTTTTTAGATAATTTAAAGATAATAGCCACATGTCTGTCTTCCCACAGGTAATTTAATGGGTGAGGCATTCTTCTGCTGCTGCTGAGGTGCAGACACTCCCTTTTTCTGCAGGCTGGTTTTCAACGTAGCAAACACACACACACACACACACACACACACACACGCTACCAACAGCTTCAGTCCTGTCACCCATCTCACAGTAGGGTGAAAGCAGCCTCCAACCTTTGCAGAGCCCTGGCTGTACATGATTCGGCACATAAGCAGTGTGTCATTTGTAACAAATCCCTGAGCTGGTTAACTTGATTAATAAACAATCGAAACTGCTTCTGGCTGTAATAAATTAAAACTTCATCCTTATTCACAACCACCACCTATCAGCATCACAGGCTTCCCCTGGCTCCTACAGTCACTGACACGGGCTTTGTGCATGCTCTGTCACCCAGTGCTGGTGAATTTCAGGGGGCATTTATTTGGTGGATAAAGAAAAAGCCAAGTCAGACCCCATGCATGGGCAAAGGAGACCATCTATGTGGCATATCATGAGTTATGTCTAAAAGGCCCTTCTGCCTCTCAAATCTTTGCTTCCTCTTACCTGCTGGGATGCTTGAAATTTCCAACCATTTGGCCACATGTGTGTATCCCAAAGACCCCAGTTATAAGGCACACAAAGTGAAATAAGATCACTGAGGGATGGTGGCATGTAGAGAGCTGACCTTTGTCAAGAAGAGTCCGAAAGACCTGGGTTCAAGTCTGGCCTTTGCCACATACTGGCTGAGTGATCCTGGGCAAGTCACTTAAGCTCTCAGTGACCCAGGCAGTTTTCTAAGATTATAAATTGCAAAGAAGAGGCAGATCTGCATTGGTAGAAGTACAATGAACAAAATGGAAACCTGGATTCAAATCTCTAATTCTGACACTTAGTGATTGAATGACCCTATGGAAAGTCACCTAATTTCTGTGAGCCTCAATTTCCTTATTTATGAAATAATGATAATAATATATTCACTATCACCTACCTTGAAGGGCTGTTGTAAGGCTTTTGAAAACCTTAAAGCCCTATGTCACTGTGAGCCATTATTAAGTTCATTATTATTAATTATTATTAAGTTAAACCAAATTTATTTTTGGCTTTTTAAAGTTTGATTTTTTTTGTTTTGTTTTGTTTTGTTTTTTACTAAATTAAGTCACTGGCAAAGACAAACCTACTAACACACTCCCATAGATCTCCTTGATCAGAATGGCCGTTACCTTGGAGGGTAAAGATCGGGACCCTGAAGGAACTGGACACAATCAAGCAATAAGCAAGCATACACAAGGCAAGGAAATTTTGAGAGTGGAGGGAAGGATCTCTAATGCGAGACCTTTCCTGGTTGCTTGGGCTGCTAGTACCTTCTCTTCTCATGTAACTGTACAAAAGTATTCTGTGCCGGACATGTAGTAGGAGCTTAATAAATACTAGTTGACTGACTGTAATTCTTTATGTACATGTTTTTCCCCTATTAGAATGTAAGCTCCTTGAGAGCAGGAACTGTTTTTGCCTTTCTTTGTATCCCAAGCACTCAGGCCTGTGACTGGAGCTTAACACTCGCTTGATAAACGCTTGTTGGTTGCTCTGCCAAACTGGATTGGTAACACAGAGCGGTCTGCTTGAGCTTACCTTTCCTCTCCTCAGGCTCCTGGTCAGGTCCGCGTGAGGTGGTGGAGTTTTCCCCTGGGCTACGTCTTCCATGTCTACAGAATGGCTTCTCATCCTTTGCCCTTTCAGGTACTCCTTCAGCAGCCAGTCTGGAGGGGCTGGTCTCTGAGTTTCTGCCTTCTGTGACCTCAGCCCAGCCAGACAGGATGGAGCCCGAGGAACCACTGACTCAGCAACAACTGCAGCTGCATTCAGGATGCTGCCCGCCCCCAGCCCCACAAAGACATGATCACATGTAGGGGCCAAGGAACGGCATCCCTGTCTCTCTCACCCTAATCCACAATTGAGTGTCATGTGAGGCCTTTCCCAGTTCTGCCTGATGTTAGTGTTCTCCACAAGCCTCTAACTTTATATTTATTGGTATGTATTTGTTGTGTACATGTACACCCTTCTCATCCCACCCCACCACCCATTTAAAAGGTAAGGCCCCTGAGGGCAAGGACTTTCATTTTGTTTTTCTATCTTCACTGTTTAGTTCAGTACCTGACATGTTGGGGGAGCTTAGGAAATGCTTATTGAATTAAGGCAATACCATTCTGCTAGACAGCTATTGTGTCTCTTCTTGTCTCCTCACCCCACAATCCAAGGTCATTTTTGGGGGGGAGCTGCAGAGTGACCCCTTGCCCCAAATGAAGACAATCTAACATCGACAAGACGCAGAAGGCTAAGTACTGGGGATATATCTCAGGCCTATTTTCTGTGCTTGTCTCACAGCAACCTCCTCAGGTAAGAACTCAGACCTGGGAACACTAGCACCCTAAGCTTCCCATCTCCTTGGCACAATGTGTCCTTGAGGAAAGACTGCTAGGGGTCAGGGTGGGCATCTCTCCATACTTCAAAGCAACCATTTCCATCTCTACCAGCACAAGACATCTTCTACCTCCGGCTGCCAGCTGAATCTCCCAACTGGCATATGGAGAACCTCCAGTACAAAAAAGAACAACCTTCTCTTTGACTTCAGGCCTCCTATCTCCTGCTTCCCCTGTCCTTTGAGGGCAAAAGATGGTGCCCTCCACTCAATGATGAACATTCTCATACCTAATCTTACCCTTCACATCCCAGTGACTCTGAACTCCTGCAGATCATTATCTAAGCCTCACTCTTCTGCCCCTACCATCTGATTCCTTATTCCCATCCCCTCATCCCTCTCACACCCAAAGTTTCATCCTAACTCCACCTACCCCTTTCACTTTGCCTTCTAGAATGCCTGTTCCATAGGCAACAAATTTCCCTCCATCTTAAATCTTTTGCTTTCCCATTGCTTCCATCTACTAGCACTTACCGACACTTGGCTTCCCGATGATGACACCCATTTCCTGGTCACCCTTTTAAGTACTGGCTGTACTTTCACTCACTCTCCTTGGTTCGCTGGTTGAGGAGGGAGAGTTGGAATACTCTGTGCTTCTCATTACCCCTTCCAGATTCTCTCCCTTCCTCCATCACTCAGTAACCTCTCTTCCTTTGAGGTTCATGCTATTCATATCTACCATCCAATCAAAATTCCAATAGCTGTTGTCTACAGACCCATAGGTCGCTCCCCTTCCTTCCTCAATGAGTTTGATGCTTGGCTTACATTTTTTCTCTCCTCCCCAACTCTTGCCTTTACAATAGGGGACTTCAGAATACATACTGATTCTCCTTCACTCAGCTCCTCAACCTACCTATCTCTCATAAACTACTCTTCCACACCACTTTAGCCACACACAAAGATGGTGATTTTGCCATCACCCACAAATATACCACTTTCATGTTCAAGAATTCCAAATCCATTTATCTGACCTTACCAAACCCTATTCTTTTATTTTTTGTTCTCCCAATTTTTTTGTAAATCTTTAAAATTTTAAATTTAAATATAAAATGAGAAAAGAAAAAAACACACTGTTATGTACACAATGGACCGTAAGAGAGGGGTTCAATATAAAACAATAAATTTCCATTTCAAGAAAACCTAGATAATACATACTACATATTGTTTTCAAAGTTTCCCAGCTTTTCTTTGCTTTCTTATTGGTTTTCTTTTGTTTTCTGCTGTGCACTTTTTACTTGATTTTTCCCCCTTCCTCCTCCCCACACTAAAGAAAGCATGGATACACGCGCATATGTATATTTATACATAGATATCTATAAACATACACATATATACACATATACACTCATACACATATATATAAGACTGTACTATGCTTATTTCCCCCTATCATCTGTGTCTCTGAAGGTGCATAGCACGTTACTTCATAAGTCCAAGTCTTTCCGCGTTTTTCTAAATCAACCAGTTCATGCAATATTCCAACCCAATCACATCCTGTCTAAGAGATCATCTATGTAAGTTCCGCCCCCAGCACCAATTTTCTGCATTCCTTCTATTCTTGACTACATAGGTTTTATTTATACAAGAAAATTTTAATTTAAAATAACTGAAATTATTCTTTTTACACTTCAACACTGCTCTCACCTTATAACATAGTTTAAGGTCTGATACTGCTGAATCTACTCCCTTTACATCTTTTTTCCCTATTTTCTGTGAAATTCTTTACCTTTTGTTCTTCCAAATGAACTCTGTTATTATTTTTTCTAACTCAGGAAATTTTTTTTTAGTAATTTAATTGATATAACATTGAATAAACATATTAGTTAGGCTAAAATTGTCATTTTAAAAATTATATTGGTTTTACCTACCCGTGAACAATAAATATTGCTTCAATTATTTAGATCTGAGTTTATTTGTATTAAAAGTGTGTTATGTTTATGTTCATATGGTTCCTGTGTGTGTTTGGCAGGCATATGCTCAGGCGTTTTATGCTGTCTAGGTACTTTAAATAGTCAAAACAATATTGAAAAATATTGTTGATACATACTGTCGTTGCTCTATTTTTCACTTTTGATTAAATCAAACCCCGCTCTTCCTCCACCACATGACCTCTGACTTCCTTCCCTCGCAGTTCTCTCCCAGGCCATCATTCCTACACTAGCCCCACTCTCCTCCTCTTCCCATCTTGATCTCCTGGTGAACCAGCTCAGCTCTGTACCATCTTCTGCTCTTGGGTCCCCTAGTGCAGTTATGTGTCTGACTACACGGTGACAAGCCACAGCTTTGGCTCACTCACGTCATTTGTTGTTTTTCCTCCTACACATGTGCTGCTGAAGAAAGGTGGAGGAAATCATGACCTTTCTAACTGGGCACACTACAAAATTATGATATAAAACCTCAATTGGGTCCTCACTGATGCTAGGCAATCCTACTACACCTCCCTTATTTATATCTTCTCACTATCCCACTCTCCATAGCAGCTCTTCTGAACCTTTTCATCCTTCCTTAAATTTCCTGTGGCTTCTTCTGTCCCCACTCTCCCAGCTGAGAACTTTGTTCCATATTTTACAGAAGAAATTGAGGCCATTCACCATGAACTTCCTTTTTTCCCCTCTTCCTCATCTCATATCACTCAGATGCCTTCTGCCACTTTCTCTTCCTTAACCCCTGCCTCATGTGATGAAGTAGCCTTATTCCTTACCAAGGCTAACCCCTCTATCTGTTCAAGTAATACCATTCTATCCCATCTCTTCCATCAGATTGCTCCCTCTGTCATCCCAACTCTTTCACTGATTTTTAATTTCTGCTTCTCTATTGGCTCATTGCCTACCGCCTTCAAATATTCCCATGTCTCCCCCATCCTGACATAACCCTCACTTGACCCTTCCATCCCTGCTAACTATTATCCTGTAACTCTTCTGCCTTTGTAGCTAAATTCTGTGAAAAGGCCATCTACAACAGGTGTCTCCACTTTCACTCCTCTCACTCTCTTCTTAACCCCTTAAAATCTGACTTTACAGTATTATCATCCTACCAAAATTGCACTTTCCAAAGTTACTAATGATCTCTTACTTGCCAAATCCAATGGCCTTTTCTCAGCCCTCATTGTCTTTGAACTCTCTGCAGCCTTTGACGCTGTTTATCACTCTCTCTTCCCTCTGGGTTTTTGGAACATCACTCTCTCCTAGTTCTCCTCCGACCTATCTGATGGCTCCTTTTCTTTCTCTTTTGATGAAGGATCATGCCCTCCCACCACAGGGGACCCTCAAGATTTTTTCTTGGGCCCTCTTTTCTTCTCCACCTAGACTACTTCACTTGCTGAGCTCATCAGCTCCCATGGATTTAATTGCCATCTCTATGCTGATTCTCAGATCTATCTCTCCTGCCCCAGTCTCTCTGCGATCTCCAGTCTTGTATCTTCTACTGCCTTTCAGACATCTCAAACTGGACATCAAATAGATATCTTAACTCAATATGTCCAAAATAGAACTCATTATCTTTCTACCTAAACCTTTCCCTCCTCCTACCTCCCCTAACTATAGAGGGCAACATCATCCTCCCAGACACTGCCACCACCATGCAGACACTGCAGGCCCTCATCACTTCATGCCTGCATTATTGCAACAGGCTGCTAGTGGGTCTGCCTGCCGCAAGTCTCTCCCCACTCCAATCTATCCTCCATTCAGCCCTCAAGTGATTTTCCTAAATATAAGTCTGATCATGTTACACACACACACACACACACACACACACACACCCTACTCAATAAATTCCAATGGCTATTGACTCCAGGAGCAAATATAAAAGTCTCTGGTATTCAAAGCCCTTCATAACCTAGACCCTTCTACTTTTCCAGTCTTTTTACATCTTACTGCTTGACAAGTATTCTTTGATCCAGGGACAATGACCTCAGGATCATTCCCCATGCCTAGAACACTTGCTCTCCTGCACTCTGCCTCTTGACCTCTGGCTTCTTTTAAGTCCCAATTTAAATTTTACCTGCCACAGGAAGCCTTCCCCAACCCCTTTCAACTCTTGTGCCTTCCCTCTGCTAATTGTTTTTTATTTACCTTGCATATAGCTTGGTGTGTGTGTGTGTGTGCACATGAGTGTATATAAATGGGTGTATATATTTGCATGTTGCTTGCCTCATTAGATTGTAAGCTTCTTGAGGACAGGAACTGTCTTTTGCCTCTTTTTATATCCTCAGTCCTTGGCACACGGTAGGCACTTCAATGTTTGTTGAATGGTTGAGTGATTGATTAAAAAAAGCACTTAGCGTAGTGCTTGTCATGTAGTAGGCACTATATATGTGCTTCTTCCCTTCTGCCTTCTCCCTTTCCCATCCCTTGACTTCTGTTGTTCTTTGTATAACTTAAGGCACAATTTAA